AGAGCATTTGCCAAGGTACAGGATAGTTCTAGAAAATAGGTGGCGCCACACCAGTCACGTGACCTCGATGACGCAACAGTTTGTTAATTTCTAGTAGAAATTCTTCCAGAGAAACTTCAGCGATAAAAGTCCTTTCTTAAATAAAACTAGTTTATTCTTTCTCAATACAACTTTGCAATACACTTAATTTCCACATTCACTTTAACTTAAAAACACGCTAGAATTCACAACGATTCTCGCACTTTACTTACAGCTTGACTCAATTATCTGTCTCTATATCTCTCTGTCTGCAATTCAGTTGTTGCCGTCACTTTATTTGCCAGCTTATATACTATGAGAGCGCGAGTCTAGCAAACGCTAGGACGTTCGACAAGTTCCTCGATCTATCTAGATACTCATTACATGTTACTAGCGTCACGTGACTTCCGCTGTCGTAACAATATGCATGCACGTGTAGGTATTATTATATCCCATTAAAGGGTACATCAATACTTTGCTGACATTCCGGACAAAATCGAATGAAAGTGGTGCGGGCAGTGGGCCCGTCTTAGACTGGCTCCATGGCTTCCCCATTAAATCATACCGATGCAGTGATGCTTTGACGAAAGCAAATACTATTATTCATTCTACCTCTACATTTCCCAACACTATATAATATGATGGATCATAATTTCAACGAATTGCGGATATATAAAACTGTAGGCTCACACAAACTGTGAATGCTAGTCTTCAATATATGCAAACATTTTCTGAGATTCCAGAAAATTCCAGGACCCGAGTACGAAGTACCCCCTGCACCCCCCCCTCTCATAGTTACTGCATCCTTGCAATGATCTGGACGACAACCTGAGCAAAGCCTCAGAAACATTTGTAAAATAAAGCTCGAAAAATGCATTTCCCCAACGTTTTTATAAATCAGAATCCTGGCTTTGTAATTATCTGAAAGGAATTAAATCACCCGAGTGTCTACCTTCAAAGAATTTACTGTTTTAAGAAATATTGTTTAGCGATGAATGATTAAGTGACAGAGAAATGAACTGACGAATAAAAGAAAGGAAGAAAAGTGTGGCATGTATGCAATTATGAAAAAGGGGCTAATTGAGTTAGAAAGAGGGGACACAAGAAATCCTTACCTCAGAGCATTTCAGATATTTTTTACGTCATTGTCAGAGAGTATATGAGGAAGAAATCCTTTATCCACTCTCACACTTGAGTGTCCTAAACAGGATTAGAGATTAAAATTGGTCTTTATTTTTTATTCACTCTCTCAGTTAGATGTCCCAAACAGGCTTAGAGATTAAGACTAACCTTATTCTATCGTCAAAGAATCCGCCACTTGTTGATTGCTAAGAGCAGTTCCTTATTACCAGGTTTCCAGGATGCATATACATCGTTACAAATGATTTGTGTTTGTAGAGTTTATTTGGATTTTTTTTATCACTTTGTTTACTGTAAATTTTTGAAAATGTGAACACAGAATGACATTCTAAGACTTCAAAGAAATTACAGCATCTTACCACTACCAAGTGAATCCTTCCAAGCTAGCAAGGCACAATGACAAGCTTGGAGCCTACATTTCACAGAAGAGTACAATGATGACGTTACAATACACTATGTTGGTGCTGTTACAGGTGTCTTGTGGTTGTGCTATAGATGAAGTCTAGTACACTTTAACTATCTACTGCGGTAATAGAACTGATACACAAGACACGTTGTATTCTATCCAGAAAATAGACTACAAGTGCTTAAATTGTGTCAGTTGTTATAATACTTTCTGTGGTGATACATTGACATGAGGTTGATTTTCTAGTGGATACTTGGACAATATGGATTATTCTTTAGTGAAGTCTCCACGTTGACCAGTCAAGATCAACTTTACTTGGAAAAATGGTAATATGTGCACAAAAATAATGAACAACACTACTCTCTAAGATCTTGAGAAAGCTCTGTATGAGAAGAAAATATAACTAAGAATAAGATAGTTTACAACTCTATATATGTATATATATAGAGAGAAAAAACCAAACAATAGATGCCCACATCACGGCTTGTCATTACATAAGAAAAAATAGGAAGGCTCCAGCCTCCTGATATTCTTAGATCTCTGTACAGTGAAATACAAGGAAGGTGTGAGTAGAGAGGCAAGTCTTCACCCTATCAATGCTGGCTGAACTGCTGGCTAATTTTGGCAATCTGGATTATTCTTTAGTGAAGCCACCACATTGCCAGTTAGCATACAACAATGACCATCCAATAAAGCTTATATTTGCGTAGTCATGCTTGTGCATCATCTTCTTTGGAGGGGAAGAATGGTACGCA